GGCCCGGGCGGCGGAGGGCAGTGAGGTGGGGGAGGTGCTGGGGGGAAAGAACGTGCATGAGGAGGAGGGAAACCAGTGGAATACTATTTGGCGTAGAAATGGGATTTTTTTTTTAATCTTTTAAGCAAGTAAAGTGAAATGAATCAACACTCTCCCCCTCCCCTCCACAAGCCAGGATTGCTCCCCTCCTGATTACAGGAAGAGACCTGAAGCAGGTAAGAGGATACGCTGACTTTTCAGAGGACCCCCAGAGAACCCCCACTGCAATTAACCACCCTTTCGGTCATTCGGTCTTGAACGGAAATCGCAAGTCAGAAGCTGGGTTGAGAGCTCCTGGGTCGGGCATTCAAAGCCCTCCAAATCTGGCCCCACTTTAGCTATCCAATCATAGCCGCCTCCATCCCCCTGCAAGAACTCGCGGCTCCAATCAGGGAAGTCTCCATGCCATCCTCTACGCGCAGCAGATTCATTCTTCCTTCGTGCCTTTGCTCATGCTGTTCCCTTCCACCTCCCCACCCCACCCCTTTTCCAGGCATGCCCTCCCTTCTCCTTTATACCGCTCCCCATTCATCCCAGGCTCTGAGGCATAGCTCAAGTCGCGGCTTGTCGGGGTCCCTGGCAGCCAAGGCCCCTGCCTGTCTCGGAAAGGAACGCGTGTTTAATACAACATGGAGGCCCAGGACTCGGCCACCAGCCCCTTCCTTTGGAGCCAGTTGGCACAGGCACACACACACACACACACACGCAGACTCTGCACTGCTCCCCGCTTCCATTCATACTTGAGATAGCGTTGCCCTCGAAGAGTAAGCCTCCCTGCCACAAACGAGCCAGTCCCCTTTAAGAGCAGAAGAAATGGTTTTTCTAGGTGGGGCTCAGGGAGGCCTAAGCTGCCTGGGTGTAGAAGACAACAGCCAAAGCCTCTGGCACCAGATGGAACAGCTGCTCAGCTCCCACTGACCTTTCTCTGGGCCTGTGGGTGTTGTGAGCCCTTCAGCTCCAACTTTCCTGACTGAGTGTCTCTCAGGTTTCTACCTGTCAGATTCTCTGGCCACTTTCCTGATGGGCCTGGACTTTGGGCCCTGAGGCTCGGCCACCTTTTAGACTCCAAGTGGGTGGTAAATCTGATCGGCTTGGGTTGCCTGGCCTTTGAGTGCTGGGTTCCCTGCCTTGGCCTGAAACCCTCTTACATTTATCCACTCTGCCCTCAGGCCTGATCCACAGACTCCAGACCCAGACTCACTCTGAATGCTTGCACATTGTGGAGGGAACAGGTGGAGGAAGGACACCTGTGTGCAGAACAGAGCTCCTCTCTGCCTTTGGGATTCCTTTGAGCTCCCAACACCCATTCCACCAACTGTATCACAGAAAGGGACACCCTTTTCCATAACCTGTTAACATTATTAGCTTTAAGAAACTATAGGTTGTTTACGAAATCTTATCGCCTATGTGCCCTTATGTCCTATGCAAAGACAGTGTTTTTCTGGACCAAACTGATGGACATGGTGTGCACTAGACAAAACCTTTGAAAAATAAAAAGAGCTAAAGTGTTATTCCTCCCCCCCAAACGTTATAATGTATGTAAAGATTATTTTCTCTATTTTGCAGATGAAATGGAAGCTTAGAGAATTGGGTAACATCCTTAAAGTTATCTAATTAAAATGCAGGAGCCAGGATTTGAATCCTAGAAATTTCAAAGCATCAAGCCACCCTGAAACTGGGATTGTATAGAAAAAAATCTTAACCTATGTACACAAACTCCATATCCATAAAGAAGAGGAGGAAGTTAAAAAAAAAAAAGTATTAGAGAAAGGTGGCAAGTTCCCAGGTTTAATAATGACTTGTTTGCAGAGAGAGAAGGCTGACTCCAGGGCGCCCCACCCTGAGAGGGGGAGACCTTAGGAAGTGGGAAATTCATCCACCGGAGGTACTGTATCTGAGTTCTGAAACAGGCCTTACGAAAAGGAAGCTGATAACCAAGATGGTTTTTCTAAAACTTCGCTACCGGGTGTCACACAGGCTGGCTTCCCGAGTGCAACTTCTAAGTTTTTAATAGGTTCCCTAAAAGACCTACGTCACCCCAGCAGCCACTAGAGGGCTCAGCAAAACTGCGACCCAGAGCTGCCCTCTAGCGGCGGTGCCAAGGGAGCATGTGTTGAGCCTTTGGGGCCTTCAAGGAGCAAAAGGCAGGTGGAGACCTGGAAGGCATAGGATCCACAGCAGTGAGAGAGGTGGCAGATAGCATCAGACTAAGGAGTCCTTATTACCAGCACAAGTCATCCTTTTAGGGAAGAGGTCACCCCCACCCCTCGCTTAACATCTGGGAGTTCTGTGTGTGTTTTGTTACAATCTTCAGACAAAATGATACAATTAATGCAGCTAAGCCATCAGAGAAAAACCTGATGAAGTTCTGCAATATTTGGGGTACAGACTAGAGCCAAACCCAGTGTAAAGGCAGGGGTGTAGCCATGTGATTCTGAAATTGTGTACCCCCTGGTTACGAAATTCTGTACAAAGACCCAGAAAATGTGGCACATTTTCTCAGCTTCAGTTTGAACTAAGTGAGAAGTAACCTAAGCCATTATACTAAGCATGGATATAATATAACTTGACACACTAGATTTTTGAGCTTTTATTTCCCAACTCTGAAGAAGATATTTATTCTCCTCTGTAAAAGTATATGCCAGTGGATGATTTTAAGGAACACCTGTGTAATGGGAAGAAAAACGCTGGTCTTGGATCAGAAGACTCAGGAATTCAAATCCTGTTTCCATCTTTATAATAACTAAAATAATGATCTGCCTCGCAGGGTTGTTCTGGCATGACAGTCACGTTGCTGAACTCCTGTAGTTGACTGTGGTGGAACAACGTGTGAAAAGATATGTAAACCACAGGAATACTGAATACGTCTAAGAATGAGCAGGTGAGGTGGGAGCACCTCAAAGTAACGACTATGTTTTGATTATCCTAGAAGTCCCAGAATATAAATCCTGACTCCTCAATGTTCAATTAATATTTGTTGAATTAAGGCCAGCCAGCTACCTAATCTTAATTTTCTTAGCCTAATTCCTTATACCATCTTACTCTCTTATGTCTATAAACCTTGGCCCCTTTATGAAACTGTAAATTTTTATACTGTCCAGACTGAAGCATATGCATTTATTATGTTTTTTTTTTTTGAGAGGTTTTTTCACTATAGGGCGCGTGCGCTCACCAGGCAAACAGAGAGAGACAGAGAGACAGAAAGCGAGAAATCACCCCCCAGGGGGGATGGTCACGCCGCAATCCCTTCTCCTCCATTCTCCTCTCGGGATCTTGGGCACGCATGCACATGCGCCTGGCATGAGTTTTAAGCCACCAGGTCCAGGATGCGAACCGCGGTTGACTACGTGGGAGTCCAGAGACATAGCCATTACGCTAACTGCTGGTTCCCTGTATTTTTCATGCCTAATACATAGTAGTGTCAGGCCCAGGAGATAGAACTAAATACAACATAGTCCCAATTCAAAAGTACTTTACGTTCTGTGGTCCAGAAAGACATGTTAACATGTCCGCTAGTTCTATGGAGACAGAATGAAGGAACGTATTGATACTGCTTAGGGGTTTAAAAAGGGTGTTTGAGGGACCAGTAGATGGTGTAACATTTATGTTGCTGGACTCCCACGTAGTCAACCGAAGTTTGAGTTCTGAACCTGGTAGCTTAAAATTCAGGCCAAACCTGTGGCTTAAAACTCAGACCAAGCACATGTGTGGTTTGTGCCCAAAATCCTGAGAGGAAAACGGAGAAGGGATTGCGGTGTAGCCATCCCCAGCGGGTGGGGCATGGTGGGGAGGCTGATTTCTCACTTGTCTCTCTGTCTCTCCAGCAAACACATAAGCCCAGCAAAAATCTCTCTTTAAAAAAAAAAAAAAAAAAAGTGGAGAAGGCCTCTTGGCTGGCATTTGAATTGGATCTCACTGGGTGAATGGGGGTAAAGGGTGTGTGAAAGGACGTTATTTAATGAGAGAATGATGCATGGCTCCCTGCTAGCTCTGTGATCAGATCCTTAGTGCATATTAGGGGAGGAAAAAAGAAGAGGAAGGAGATACAAGCCCATTTTACAAAATGTAACTGTGTTGTTAGTTATGATTCTTCTGTCAAAAGAAGATGAGGTCTAAAATAAGTTTCATCAGGGAACCAGCAGTTAGTGTAATGGCTATGTCGCCGGATTCCCATGTAGTCGACCGCGGTTCACGTCCCGGACCCAGTGGCTTAAAACTCACGCCGGGCGCGTGCGCGTGTGTGCCCAAGATCCTAAGAGGAGAATGGAGGAGAAGGGATTGTGGCGTGGCCATCCCCCCTGGGGGGTGATTTCTCGCTTTCTGTCTCTATGTCTCTCTCTGTCTGTCTGGCGAGCGCACGCGCCTATAGTGAAAAAACCTCTCCAAAAAAATAAATAAATAAAATAAGTTTCATCATTGGTAAATATTGATTGGTTAAATGGTGAAGGTGTGCAATTCATTATCACAAATTATGGTGGTTTATCAGATCTTGAAAAGATAAGGTTCTATCCTGATTTCTTTTTTCCACACTTCAAAATAAAAACAAAGTATCCCCCCCCTTTTCCCTTAATCATTTCACTCTAGAAACTAAAAGTAGAACATGTAATCACCTGCATGTTATTATTTAAGAGAACAGAGAAGGCTCTCCATTTCCCCCATCACTATCCCCAAAGCATCCTTGATAACAGAAAGTGATGGTTAATTTCTTTGGGCTAACCCGCTGTCTTTCAAAGTGCAAGTAGCTGGGGCCAGTAGGTGGCATGATGGTTAAGGTGCTGACTCTCACATGGTCAACCATGGTTCGAGTCCCGGTCCTGGCAGCTTGAACGCTCACCTTCCTTCTCTCTCTGTCTCTCTGTCATTCTCTGATCAAATAAAAAATAATAATAAATGAAATTAAATTAAATAATTCTTAAAAAAAATACAAGGAGCCTTAGGAGGACTAATATATTAACTTCCAATGCTATAACATGATTGAGTTTTCAGTTTTCTTTTTTCTTTGGAGAGGTTTTTGCTATAGGGCACATGTGCTTGCCAGAAAGAGAGAGAGAAACAGAGAGACAGAAAGCGAGAAATCACCCCCCAGAAGTGATGGCCATGCCGCAATCCCTTCTCCTCCATTCTCCTCTCCGGATCTTGGGCATGCATGCACACGTGCCCGGTGTGAATTTAAGCCACTGTGTCTGGGACTCGAACTGCATGGGACTCGACTACATGGGAGTCCAGCGACGCAGCCATTACGCCAACTGCTGGTCCCGAGTTTTCAGTTTTAATAGCATTAGAGAGAGGAGTACAGTGGGGAGGAAGGAAATAAGGAAGGGGAGCAAGGTTACAGAAGGAGATTGGGGGTGCAGCACTAAGTGAATATTGACAGGTTTGAATACATGTGCTCAGTTTCAGGAGTACTAATGTGAGTAGATGTGCAAAAGCACATTTTCCTGTTAGGCACAAATACTCTATTATATCAGTAAAGCAATAGTCCGTTAAGGTTAAATAGACTAACCAAATACTGGGCAAGGTAGTGGCTGTTAACAACACTGTCACTACCTGGCTATGTGACCTTATCTATACAAACCATTCTTTCAGGGCCTTTCACTTATCTCCAGGGATTAATGGGATAAAGTTCACGTAAAGTCCTTGGTTCTTCAAGCGAAAGGTATGATGCAAATGAATGCCAGGGACTGCTTTGATTTCACTTAGAAATTTTCCACTGTTGGTACCATGTATATGTGGTTATGTTGTGACCTGCAATCTCTTTTATAAAGGAAGGTTCGAGTTAATACCATTCATCTGAATTTTAAGGCAAGTGTTTACTTTCACTTGGGGCCAAAAAGTCCTAAGTGGAAATTTGATCTCTCGGTAATTTAGACCAGCAGCAGCAACTGTGAACAAAAGCAGGTCAAGAAAAAGCCTATTTGCCTAACCCTAAATGTGTCAGTGAAAGGACATCAGAGCTGATCCTCAAGGAGGAAGTCAGTGCTGGTGCGGTCTGCACTGGTGGAGCCTCACCAGGCATCTGCAGACCCCGTCATTGCTTGAACCATTGCGAGGCGCCCTTGAGTAAGTACTATGTACAAGTAATTATGTTGGTACCTCATGAAGACCTAAAAGTAAGTGGTAAATATGATGTCATCTTCAGAAGTTCACGATTTAGTTGGAACACAAGACATATTGGCCCATGAATACTTTCAAAAGTGAAATAAAAATGCAAGGAACAAACGGAAAACAGTGTGGGGCAAGACGAGCTATTGATTTGGTTTGTGCTCCTTGTATGTTTTCTTCCCCTCCATTCTGAGCAGCTTCCAGGGAGCTGTGTCTTACCAGGCAGAAGGCTGTCTGATAAGAACCCGCAGACAGTTTCCGGGGCATCATCCACATTGTGAACAAAGCCTCCTGCCACAGGACCCCTTAGAATGCAAGGTCCATTTTGGGCTGGCAGGTGACACAGTGGTTAAGGCGCTGGACTCCCACATGACTGTGGTTTGGGTCTCGAACCTAGTAGCTTACTCTCTCTCTCTCTCATGTCAAGGTGAAAAATAATAAACAAACAAACTTTTTTTTTTTTTAGAAAAAGAATGCAGTGTCAATTTTATCCCTGGAGTTGCATCCAGCAATCTACCTTCCAGGTTCACTGCTCCTTGAAGAGATTTTGCTAAGGGATTAAAAAGGTAATCATCTCAGGAGAGCAAAGGAAAGAAGGAATTGTGGGCAGGTGGAAATATATAGAGAAACATCCCTCCAAAACAGGAAAAAATTCAAAGATCAGAGTTCGAGTAGTGGAGATACCAGCTTTGCTTCTAAGAAACATACCAAGGAGATATCCTAACCTCAGATGGGTGCATGGTGCACCTAAGTAGGCTAGACGCCCTCTCCCCTCTTGGCCCCCAAGTGGAGGAGTTGCCTGGTGTCTAAGGACCATATTCTTTGGTCATTAAGGATATCAAAGTTCAAATATATATATATATATTTGAACCAATACTGCTTCTGTTGTTATAGAGTTATAAAATTATACAAAATTATAAGACATATTTTGAACATTATCTTTAAAATTCAGTATTTTGAAACTTTGAAAGTTGTTTGTAAACTGTCAAGAATTATGGAGTATGAGCTAAAATTCTTTGCTATGTAAAGTAAATGTTTGTGGAAAAATGTAAAATAAAAACAAGTTGTAATTAAAAAAAAAAAGATATCAAAGTTCATCTTCCCCATTTCTAGGCCCAACGTAAGTCAACCAGACTCTCGTATAATCCTAGGATCAGAGGAAAGCCCAATTCAGATGGGATCCCCTTCTATGCTAGCAGAATTAATTCACCCCTGAAGTCTGGGGTGAATTTGATTGACTTAAAGAAAGTAACAAAATACGAGACCAGCAGTTAGCGTAATGGCTATGTCTTTGGACTCCCATGTAGTCAACCGTGGTTCAAGTCCTAGACCTGGTGGCTTAAACTCACGCCAGGCATGTGCGCATGCGTGCCCAAGATCCCAAGAGGAGAATGGAGGAGAAGGGATTGTGGCGTGGCCATCCCTCTGGGGGGTGATTTCTCACTTTCTGTCTCTCTCTCTCTCTGTCTGTCCGGCAAGTGCACGTGCTCTAGAGCAATGACCCCTCCAAAAAAAAAAAAAAAAAAAAAGGTGAAACCCATCAGATTATTCAGGATAAACTCCTTTAGGTAAAGTCACTGATGGCCACATCTACAAAATACCTTCATAGAAACATCTAGATTGGTGTATAATTGAAAAACTGGATATGTATCAACTTGAGAAGTATAAGTAACTATCACATTCACCACACTTTTGAGGGTTTTTTTTTTTTTTTTAAATGTCAGATAGAGAAAGTGCCCCTTAGTAGGGCATGGTCACACCACAATCTTTTCTTCTCCATTACTCCACCTCGTCAGGATCTTAAACATGCACGCACATGTGCCAAGTGTGTTTTTCAAGCTACTAGGGCCAAGATTTGAACTGGAGTTGGCCATGTGGGATCCAGCTCCTTCCACATAGTGTTTTACAACATTGCAGGGCTGTCCTAGGCTCACCACCCTTTTTATATGATCTTTTGTATTTGCAAAGAGGAAGAAGATATCTTCAGAATTTGTCCATAGGAACTTCAAGAGAAGTCATTTCCTATGAAGTAGGCCAGCCTATCACCTTTTCTAGGATAGGTCTATTTTCTGTGTTCTTCCTTGTACATAAATAGATTTAGTCCAAGGAACTTTCCATTTTACCCCTTTTTTATTTTCTTTACTGTCATCTGAAAGTATGCCAATGTAGAACTGTGGTTGATGTTAGCATGGGTTTTGGGTATTTTTTTTTCTAAACAGCCCCCCCACCACCACCATTTATAGTGTCTCTAGTTGTATCTGTAGCATGATTTTCCTGATTTGGCCAAACCCCAGATTATCTGCCATATCCTTGATCCCATTCTAAGTCTGGCTTATTGATATCAGCCTCCATCCTTGTCTGGAGGAGACAAGGATGGAAAGTTACAAGACCCTGGCTCCTTGATTGCAGCAGGACTCAGCATCTGACTCCAAATCAACCTAGACAGTGGCCTATGAGCTGGCTGAGTGTAAGAGCTTTGCCCAAGAAAGAGGTTAGTAACTAGCTGAAAACTTGATTCATTTCTTAAGAAGTACAAATGTGGTTGTTTTTTTAAAAAAAGGACTAGGCAGTTGGCAATAAAACAGCAGCTAAAAGACATACAAGAGAAAGCAGACCTCAGAAACCATTAGACAACGGCAACCAGTAGAAGCAATCAGTAAGCAAAAACTATAGGAAGATAAGCTGGAAAAGCTTTCAGAAGATAAGATAGTTGCTTAGTAATGGCAGGAGCTAGACCCATGCATTGACAGGAATTGAGTAGATTTTCTCATGCAACACCAGAATAAGGGGGTCGCAAATGAGGAAGAACAGATCATCAGTCAGACCTTGGGGAGATCCAGAATAGTCACCCAGAAACCAGGAACAGATATACAAGCAACCGCATAGAAACTTGAAGAGAGATAGGAAACAAAAAAATGTATTTAGGTTCCAATCCAGTTCTAGCAACCGATTTATCTTGTTGGACCTTCAAGAACAGGTTTCCCTACTCTCCTCTCTTAGTTTGACACAAATAGTTCTTTCGCTAAGACTCTTACACACATGGACACACACACACACACACACACACACACATTTATAGTCCTAAGCATCTGAAAGGCTCACTCATTTGTCAAGAACTCAACCCTCTAGGAAGTCTTCCCTTATCTGTTCCTCATCCAGGTTTGAGTTACCATGGCCCTTTGCTACCAGGCAGATTTATGCCATAAACATAATCTCATTGTATGGTAATTGCCTAAAGGGGGACTTCAAAAAGGTCATGGAGGTCTAGCCCTGTAGTACAGTGGTTAGGAGCTACACAGAGGAAATCAGATTTCACATGGCAGACTATGGTTCATGTCCCAGTCTGCCAGATTAAAAACACACCGTGAGGGATGGAGAATTGAAGGAAAAAGGATAGTGGTGTGACCAGGCTCTGTTGGGGGTTGCTTCCCCCACCTCTTTGTCCTGTGCATACACATATCCTCTGACATTAAAAGAGAAAAACCTCATGAAAAATAGAATTTAAAATAAAAAAGATTAAGCTTTAATTCTCAACATAAGCGCTGTCAAGTTCAAGATACTTTTGTAATGTTATTACCAGCCATTTAGAACTGAGAGTCCTGGGAATTAATTTAACCAAGTTAATGTAGCCTTTTTTTTTTTTAACACTATAAACCAAAGAAAAAACAATGCCCTTCAAAGATTTCTTTTTTTAAGATTAGGAAATAAGAAGTCAGAAGGAGGAAAATCAGGAACATAGGTAGGTACCTAATGATTTCCCATCAAAACTCTTGAAAAATTGCCCTTGTCTGAGAGAAATGAGTTTTTGTTTTGTTTTTTAGAGAGATTTTTGCTCTAGAGCACGTGCCCTCACTGGACACACAGAGAGTCAGAAAGCAAGAAACCACCCACTAAGGTAGATGGCCATGCCACAATCCCTTCTCTGTTCTCCTTTTGGGAATTTGGGCACATACACACATGTGCCCAGTGTGAGTTTTAAGCCACCAGGTCTGGAACTTGAACCATGGTTGATTACATGGGAGTTCAACAACATAACCATTACACCATGTAGTGGTCCCATGTTTTGTTTTGTTTTTCAGAGAGATTTTGCTGTAGGAGCACATACTCTCTCTGGAGAGACAGAAAGAGATAGACAGAAAGAGAGATCATCCCCCAGGGGGAATGGCCACACTGCAATCCCTTCTCCTCTGTTCTCTTGGGATCTAGGGCACACACACGCATGCGTCCAGTGTATTTCAAGCCTCCAGGTCTGGGACTCGAACCACAGTTGACTATGTGGGAGTCCAGCAACATGACTGTTAACGCCATTTGCTGGTCCCAGATGAGAGAAATGAGTAGGAGTATTATCGTGCTGTAGGACTCTGATGAAGCTTTCTTGGGTGTTTTTTCTGCTATAGCTTCAGCTAATTTTCTTGAAATCCTTTCATAATAAGCAAATGTTACCATTCTTTGGCCCTGTAGAAAGGGAACAAGCAAAAGGCTTTGAGCATCCTAGGAAATTGTTGACAGTTTCTTTGGTTTTGACGGGTTTACTTTTGCTTTGACTGGACCACTTCTACCTCTTGTAGCCATTGTTTTGATTGTAACTTTATGTTCAGGATCATACTGGTAAGACCATGTACCATCTCCTGCTACAGTTTTTCAAAGAAATGCTTCATGGTCTTGATCCCACTTGTTTAAGATTTCCATTGAATCCTCGGTTCTTATCTGTAGCTGATCTGGGCACAACAGTTTTGGTATGAATCAAGCAACAAGTTTGCTCAGCTTTAATTTTTCAGTCAGAATTTTGTAAGGTGAACCCAGTTGAGATGTGGATGGTGTTGCTGTTGTTTCTTCTGTTAATCATCAGTTCTCCTCAACTAGAGTACAAAGTTTAATTTTTTTTTTCTTGCAAATTGATATGGATGGTTGGCCACCGTGGGTGCTATCTTCAACATTGTCTTGCCCCTTCTTAGAATTAGTTGTTGGGACTAGCAGGTGACATAGTGATTAAGGTACTGGACTCCCATATGGCTAATAGTGGTTCAAGTACCAGATCCAGCAGCTTGGAGATCAAATTGGACATTTGTGCATGCATGTCCAAAACCCCAGGAGAACAGAGGAGAAGGGATGGTATGCCATCCCCCGGGGGTGATTTCAAATGCATACAGTAAAGTGGCAGAATACAAAATTAACTTACAAAAATATATAGCATTTCTATATACAAACAACAAGCAAACAAGCAGACAGAGAAGAACTGAAAAAAGTAATCCCATTTACCATAGCCACAAAAATTATAAGATACCTAGGAATAAAACTAACCAAGGAAGTCAAAGACCTCTGTAAGAAAAACTATGAAAATCTTTAAAAAGTTGAAAGTGACACAAAGAAGTGGAGGGACGTCCCATGTTCCTGGACTAGAATAATTAATCAAAATGGCACTCCTACCCAAATTAATCTACATATTTGAGGCAATCTCTATAAAGTTACAAGAGACATTCTTGACAGATCTAGAAAAAATAATCATAGAACTTGCCTGGAATCATGAAAGACCCTCTATTGCCAAAGTAATCCTATACAAAAAGAGTGGAGTGGGTGGCATCTCATTTCCTGACCCCAAAATATATTACAAAGCTGTGATACTCAAAACATCATGGTATTGGTACAGAAACAGATATGAGGACCAATGGAACAGAGTAGAGACACCAGAAATAACCCCCAAAACATACAGCCAAACATACTCTTTGTTTTTGACAAAGGGTCAAATCCAGTGGGAAAGAAAAAACCTCTTTAGTAAATGGTGCTGGGAAAACTGGGTATTCACCTGCAGAAAGATGAATCTAGACAGGGAGGCTCCTCACTCTGAAAGTAATCACTGTTTGACTTTATGTCTTTCCCTTACACTATAATCTCCAGTCAGCCTACATTAAGTAGAAGCAGAGAACTAAAAGAGATTCTCATCTGTAAAGTACAAGAATAACACTAGTTGGAAGAAACTCACTAGAAGAAAAAATGACTAAGGAAAGGTGTTCATTAAAAACAGATAAGGTTACATTTATTTTATGAAATTTATAATTTTAAGAAAAGTGTAATTATTATAAGGAAACTATATATTTCTAAAGATTATCCTCAAAGAGATTCAAGATGTTATTACGTCCATAAAAATGAAGTGAACAGTGATCTTAGAAATTTAAAAAAATAATTTTTGAAATAAAAACTTATCACACATGTATCACCAATAGAATCTCTTTAAAAGGATGATTATAGAATAACCATTATGCCATCTGCTGGTCCCAACACCCATCTTAAAAAAACAAAAAACAAAACACACTGAAGACATGGAAAAGGTTGTCGAAGTGCCATCCCTCATAAAAGGTCGCTGTCTTAGCTGAGGCTGCTATAATGAAATATCTTAGACTAGGTAATTTATAAACAACAAAAAACTTGGGGCCAACAGGTGGCATGGTGGTTAAAGGTGCTGGACTCCCACATGGCTGGCAGTGGTTTGAGTCCTAGACCTAGCAGCTTGCTTTATCACTCCCCCCCCACCCTCGTCCCTCTCTGGTCAAATTAAAACAAACAAATGAATAAATAATGTTAAATAAAAGAATTCTTTTAAAAATATTTAAAAAATAAAACAAAACGTAATTGCTTACAGTTTTGGAGGTGGGAAGTCCAGATCAGGCACCAGCAGATCCAGTGTCTGGTGAGGGCTCCTCTCTGTTTCATAGTGCTTTTAGTTGAATTATCACATGGTAGAAATTGGAAACAAGCTCCCTCAGACTTCTTGTACAAAGGCAGTAATCATATCAATGAAGGCTCTGCTTTCTTGACTTAATCACCTCCCTAAAGTCCCTACCACATCATACTATTGCACTGAGTATTAGGTTTCAACATATGAATTGTGAGGTGAACAAACATTAAACCATAACAGTTAAACCATAGCATAACCAAATACAGATGGTTCTACAAGTAAGGAACAAATGATCCCTATTCTATGTTAATAATTAGTCCAAAGTATGGAAAAAAAAACAGCAAGATTTCCAATTCCTTTACAGTGGTGCTCACATAGCCTGCATATTTAAGACATATAAAGAAAACACACTTGTTTATGAACAAAGGTACATAAATCCTGGGTTAAGTATTAATAAAATGAAGCCAGAAATAGACTTTTATACTATACCATAATTAAGTAGGACTTACTCCAGGTATCCAAGGCTGGTTCAAAATTCAGAATATATTACTGCAACTCACTATATTGTATTCAAATTAAAGAAAAATGAGGGACCAGCAGATGGCGTAATGGTTATGTCATTGGACTCCCAAGTTGTTGACCATGGTTCCAGTCCTGGTCTGACAGCTTAAATTCATGCCGGGCATGTGTGCGTGCGTGCCCAAGATCGAGAAATCACCCCCCAGGGGGAATGGACACACCACAATCCCTTCTCCTCTATTCTCCTCTCAGGGTCTTGGGCACGCACGCACATGCGCCCAGCGTGGGTTTATGCCACCGGGTCCGGGACTCGAACCACGGTTGGCTACATGGAAATCCAGTGACATAGCCATTATGCTAATTGCTGGTCCCTCAAAAAAATTTTTTAAATGATAAAATTATCTTGAGATGCAAAAAAGCATTTAACACAATTCAATACCCATTTTTTAAAAAGAATTATTTATTTAATTTTATTTATTCATTCATTTATTTTAATTTGACCAGAGAAAGACACAGCAAGAGAGAGGGAGGGAAAGTGAGAAAGCAAGCCACCAGGTCCAAGACTGGAGCCATGGTCAGGTATGTGGAGGTGTCCAGGACCTTAACCACCACGGCACCTGCTGGTCCCTCAACACCCATTTTTAATGAGAAAGAAAACCAGAAGTAGAAAGTAATTTTCTTATTTTCATGAATGCTATCTTCATATATGAACATCATACCTAATGATGAACCTCAGAAGTTTTTCCACCAAAATTTTTGCAGTTTTATTTTGAGAGTCCAAGCCAATGCTATGTAATAAGAAAAAAGAAAAAGATGCAAATCAGAAAAAAATATTTTAATGTCTATTTAAAATATAATGTATTTTATTATATATAATAAACACAAAATAATTTTTAAAATAGGCAAACTAGTAGAAGCATGAGAATAGGGGACCAGCAGATGGCATAATGATTACATTGCTAGACTCCCAGGTAGTCGACCATGGTTCCAGTCCCAGACCCAGTGGCTTTAAACTCATACTGGGCACATGCGGGTGAGTGCCCAAGATGCTGAAAGGAGAATGGAGAAGAAGGGATTGTGACGTGGCCATCCCCCCCCAGGGTGGGGGGGGATTTCTTGCTTTCTGTCTCTCTGTCTCTCTCTGTCTGTCTGGCGAGCACACGTGCCCTATAGCAAAAATCTCTCCATAAAAAAAAAAAAAAAAAGAGAGAGAGACATGGAAATAGGAAATAAACACTTCAATAATTTAAAACAAGTTGTGTTTTCTTATCCTTAGCACTGGCAAAACATTTTTAAAATTATTTTTGGGGGCCGGCAGGTGGTTGGGGGGTTAAGGGGCCGGACATATGGCTAACCATGGTTCAAGTCCTGAGCCTGGCGGCTTGCTTTCTTACTTTCCCTCTCTCTCTGTATGTTTCTCTCTGGTCAAATTAAAATAAAATGAATGAATAAATAAAATTTAAAAAATTATTTTTAAAGAATTACTTACTGATTTAATTCCATTTGTTATTATTATTCTTTTTGGAGAGGTTTTTTGTTTTTGTTTTTGTTTTTGTTTTTGCTTTTTGCTGTAAGGAGTGTGCACTCACCAGAAAGACAGAGAGAGACAGAGAGGCAGAAAGTGAGAAATCACCTCCCAGAGGGATGGCTAAGCCGCAATCCTTTCTCCTCCATTCTCCTCTTGGGATCTTGGGCACACATGCACACGTGCCCGGCATGAGTTTAAGCCATGGTCTGGGACTTAAACCATGGTCGACTAGCCATTAAGGTAACTGCTGGTCCCCATGTTATTGTTATTTTTTAATTTGACAAGAGACAGAGAGAGAAAGGGAAAGTGAGAAAGCAAGCCACCAGGTCTGGGACTCAAACCACTGTGGGTCATGTGGAGTCCAGTGCTTCAACCACCATGCCACCAGCTGGCACCAGAACTGGCAACATTTTAAGAGACTGATAATATTTAGTTTATAAATATGTCAAAAATCAGGTATCATTTATACTTGGTGAAACCATAAGATTTCTTAGAAAGCAAAATTTACCCTAAGTTTTTAGTCTGTAACTTTCTTTCGCTCTGCAATTTTGTTCCCACAGTTTTAGCCTACAGAAATTTTTCATAGTGCACAGCAAAATGCTTGTTTGTGGGTACAAAGAAAATGCAAGAGGCCCACCCTCTGAGGTGTGTTGGTGATGTCCTGGCTCATGAAGCTGAAGTCACAATCCAACCGCAATTTGAGTCCCCAACATGGCCAGTTTGAAAACACACCAGGAAGGTATGTGTGTGCCCAATATCCCAGTGGGCTAGAGGACTAGAAAAGGGGTAGGACAGCCTGACTCAGCCCTGAGGAGAGTGCTTCTCTCTCTGTATGTTTTCATGCATGCACACGTGCTCTGTCATGAATGAAAAATTAAAGAAGAAAAAGAAAATTCAAGAATGTTGGGACCAGCAATTAGCATAATGGCTATGTCGCTGGACTCCCACATAGTCGACCACGGTTCGTGTCCCGGACCCAGTGGCTTAAAACTCACACCGGGTGTGTGTGCGTGTATGCCCAAGATCCCGAGAGGAGAATGGAAGAGAAGGGATTACAGTGTGGCCATCCCCCCTGGGGGGGGGGTGATTTCTCGCTTTCTGTCTCACTGTCTCTCTCTGGCAAGCGTACGCGCCCTATAGCAAAAACCTCTCAAAAAAAAAAAAAAAAAAAAAGATTGTTTGTTGCAAATTTTCAACAATTTGGTTAATGTGTCTTTGTATAGTTTTTTGGAGGTTTGTCTTAATTGGAGGTTTTTAAGTTTCTTGAATTTGTGTGTCTACTTCTTTCCTCAAATTTGGGGAATTTTCAGCCAATATTTCTTCAAATAGTCTCCCAGCCCTTTCATCTCTTTTCTCCTTCTAGAATTTCTGTAACACATATTGGTCCAATTGACCAATACATGCTGTGTTTGTGGGGGGGACACCCCCCCCTAAAAAAAAAAAAAAAAAAAAAAAAAAAACCTGTCCAAAAAAAAAAGAATGTTTGTTGCAACATTGTTTCAAAGAGTAAAAAACTAGAAATTTTCCAAAATTCTGTAGTAGGGAAATGACTGAATTATTACAAGTACAATAACTTGTACTTGTAACATTATGCAACTATTTAAAAATGAGGCTTACGTTCATTAGATATAGAAAGAGCTATAAGATTTATTTTTAGGGTAAAAAACCCCAAAATTATTATAAAGCATGAATGTGTGTATATTTTTAATATTGCATGTACATACGCATGTATATATTCATGTACATGCATCAAAACAATGTGGAGGCCCAGCTGTGTAGCAGTTGCTGGTTGGTACTACTGTTTGGCAAGTTGAGGTAATTTGGAATACTCGGATTTGACTCCTGGCCCACTCTAAAAGCCAGCCCTGTAGTCTCAGCCTCTCAGGAGGCTGAGACAGGAGTACTGCAAGCTCACAGCTACTGTGGACAACACAGATTCTATTTCAGGAGCCAAGTGTGGTGGTATGTGCTTGTGGCCTCAGCTACTCAAGTGACAGAACCAAAATACAGATCTCGACATAATAAACCCCTCTCTAAAATTTAAAATAATAATAATTGTTTGGAATTAAGCTGACTTAAGCTTCTCTAGAGCAAACAGTAAGAATCCAGGAGGAAAGGGACCGGCAGGTGTCATAGTGGTTAAGGGAACTGGATTCACACCTGTCCCACCATGATTCAAGTCCCAGACCGGGTGGCTTGCTTTCTCACTTTCCCTTTCTCTCTCTCTCTCTGGTCAAATAAATGAATAACAATAACAAATGGAAATAAATAAAGAAATAATTTTTTAAAAAAAGAATAAAAAAAGAATACAATTATATAAAAAAAAGAATACAGGGACCAGCAGTTAGCATAATGGCTATGTCGCTGGACTCCCACGTAGTCGACCGCGGTTCAAGTTCCGGACCCGGTGGCTTAAAACTCACACCAGGCACGTGTGCGTGCATGCCCAAGATCCCGAGAGGAGAATGGAGGAGAAGGGATTGCGGCGTGGCCATCCCCCCGGGGGGGTGATTTCTCGCTTTCTGTCTCTCTGTCTCTCTCTGCCTGTCTGGCGAGCGCACGCGCCCTATAGCAAAAACCTCTCAAAAAAAAAAAAAAAAGAATACAGCAGGAAATAAAAGCAGAATTAATGTTTTACTCTAAATATTTCAGTGTTGTTTGAATCTTTCAATATAAATATATTGATGTAAATGTATTTGACTTACAAAACTCTTTTTTTCTTTATTGTCAGAGAGCACATGCCCTTGTCAGGGAGTTAGAGAAAGCATCTCCTGGAACTAGCAGTTAGTGTAATGGCTATGTCTCTGGACTCCCATGTAGTTGACCGCATTTTGAGTCCCAGACCCGGTGGCTCAAATTCACCCCGGGTGCGTGTGCTTGCGTGCCCAAGATCCCAAGAAGAGAATGGAGGAGAAGGGATTGCGGCGTGACCATCCCCCTGGGGGGTGATTTCTCGCTTTCTGTCTCTCTGTCTTTCTCTGTCTGGCGAGCACATGCACCCTATAGCAAAAAAAAAAAAAAAGAGACAGCACCTCCTAATGGAGCATGATCCCACCATGATCCTTTTCCCTTCATTTCTCTATCTCATCAGGATTTGGGGCACACATGCACACCTGGCATGTTTTTCAAGCTGCTGGGGTCAGGATTATTTATTTTATGAAAAACAGAGAGAGAGAGGGGGAAAAAAAACAAAACCAGTACCCTGAAGAGGGTCTCACCCCTGGATCTCCTCCCAGCCTTCTCAGCTAACCAGAATCATGCATTTCCATGCCCAGCACAAACAGATTGACCTGGGAACCAAATCTGGATCTTCCCTGTTGTGACTTCCAGCTTAGCAGACTCACATGCTACTACTCTGCCATTACCACTTGGCCAACCTAGTGAATTTTTATACATATAGTACTCATGTAACCACTACCCAGAATAAGCTAGAGCATATTTCTGCTCCTTAGAATGCTCTATTCTGCTGCTACATTGTACCCACCATAAGATGAAATCACTGTATTTACTTTAATCACCATAAAGTACTATGTCTTCTCATAAGATCTGTGGGAATCTTATCTGTTCTAACTTTGTGCTCGCTTTTTATTTAGTATCATGTGTGCTATAATAATTTATTGTCAAGGGTTTTTTATTGCTGTGTAGTATTCCATTGTATGAATATAGCATACTTTATTTGTTCTGCTGTGATAAATATCTGAGTTATTTCCAGTCTAGGACTGTGATGACAAAAACTGCTATGAACAACCTTTATTTTCTTCATTTTTAACTCTTCTTCTAGGTATGCACTGATAATGTATTATGGTTTGGTCTTATTTGCATTTGCCTGACAACTAATCATATGGAAAACATTTCATGTGCTTATGTTCATATGGATATTCTCTTTTGTAAAATACCTGCTCAAATGTTTTGTTCATTTTTTTATTGATTTGTTGGTTTCTTTCCTTTTTCTTTTTTTTTTTTTTAAGAGGTTTTTGCTATAGGGTGTGTGCACTCGCCAGAAAGGCGTGAGTTTAAGCCACAGGGTCTGGAACTTGAACCACGGTCGACTACATGGGAGTCCAGCGACATGGCCAATACACTAACTGCTAGTCCCGATTTATTGGTTTCTTATCGCTTGTGAGCATTCTTTAGCATTCTTTAGAAATTGTGGATATGAGTTATTTCTTGGATCTCTATGCATTATATATGATATGTGTATGTTTGTATACAAATACACACATCTGCATATCCAATATTTTTTACTATATTGTGTCTTGCTATTTCTTTTAAAAAATATTATTATTGGGACCAGCAGATGGCATAATGGATACGTCACTGGACTCCCACCTAACTGACAGCGTTTCGAGTCCTGGGCCCTGTGGCTTAAAACTTACGCCAGGTGCACGTGTGTGTGTGCCCAAAATCCCAAGAGGAGAATGAAGGAGAAGGGACTGAGGTGTGGCCATCCTCCCCAGGAGGGGATTTCTTGTTTTCTTTCTCTATCTCTCTGTCTCTCTGGTGAGCACATGTGCCCTATTAAAAAAAAAAAAAACTCTCAAAATGTATTACTATTATTACTGTTTAATTTGCTATAGGGCACATGCACTCACCAGAGAGCAAGAGGGAGTGAGAGAGAGAGAAACTGAGAAAGCAAGCTGCCAGGTCCAGAATTCTAATTGTCATCAGCCATGGGGTGTCCAGTGCCTTAACCACTATATTATCTGCTGGCCCACTATTTTTTTCTTTAATAGTGCCTTTTGATAAACAGAACTTTAAAACTTTAAATAATCCATATTTTCTTTCATTTTTGGGGGGAGAAGCCATATTTAAGAAATCATTGACTATCTAAAATCATAAAATTATTCTTCTATGTTATGATCTAGAACAGAGTTTAGAAAACCATAGAGTGTCCTGCCACTTATCTTTATCAATACATTTTTGTTGGAACACAGCCATTCTCATTCATTTGTATATTGGCTATGGCTGCTCTTGTACTACAAGAGAGTTAAGTAGTTGCAACAGATACTATACAGACGACAAAAGTAAAAATATTTTTTATCTGGCTCTTTTTAAAAGAATTATAATGAAATTAATTAATTCTTATTCTTGTTGTTATTTTTAATTGTACCAGAGTGACAGAAAGAGAGGGGAAGTGAGAAAGCAAGCCTCCAGGTCCAGGACTTAAACCATGGTCGGCCTTGCAGGAGTCAGCACCCTAACCACTGCACCACCTGCCGGCCCCCCATCTGGCTCTTTATAGACAGAAAATGAACAACTCTTTTTCTAGAATATTACTATTTTCTTTTCACATTTAGGTCTTTAATCCAGTTGGAGTTAAGTTTTGTAAATTAAAACAGGGCTAAATTCTTTTTGTTTCACGTGAATTATCCAATTGCGCCAGAACTACTTGCTGAAAAAAATATATTACCACCACAAAATTGTAATGGTACGTTTGTTGTACATCAGATTTCTGTAAATTTGTGAGCCTATTTTTGGGCTCTCTCTTCTGTTCTATTTATCTATCATTGCACTAATACTACACTACCTTGAATAGTGTAGCTTTGTAGTAAGTCTTTACGTCTAATATAGTACATTTTCCAGTATTTTCTTCTTTTTTTGGAGAGGTTTTTCCACTATAGGGCACGTGCGCTCGCCAGACAGAGAGAGACATAGAGACACCCCCCAGGGGGGATGGTCACACCGCAATCCCTTCTCCTCCATTCTCCTCTCAGGATCTTGGGCACGCATGCACACGCGCCCGGTGTGAGTTCTAAGCCACCGGGTCGCGGATGTGAACCGCGGTTGACTAC